ACCCAAAATAAGAACCCCGACAAGTGAAGCCGTTTATGAAGCGCACCCAGGGAAGGAATCGAACAGAGCAGGGCTGTTAGGTAAACGCCCAGGGCCGTTGAGTAGACGCGAGTGATCGGGGTCGGGGTGTTTTTTTCCTCCCTTGACTTGAGCCGGGCCCCAAAACGCTCCAAAACTTCCTCCGCAACAATCCGCGAGGCCCCCCAACAGCCCCCAGCACGCCCTCAAGAGACCCCAGAGAGTGCCTAAGAAGCCGACGACGCCTCAACCATGGACTCCCCGCCTCTTCTGGGGGTCGGCGGTATGGCGTAATCCTCTTGAATAAACAGGTCTTGCGCAAGATGACATAGAGACATTAAGCGGTGACTTACACGGGCCGCCGACGCGGCACGCTAAATCGGAAACGAGGGCGCTTGCGCGCGACCATACGTGGGGAACTTGCGCGCGAAAGTCGGCGCAGTCGAACCCGTTTTGTTTGCGTCGCTCAGGTGCCCCATGGCCCAAGGTGCATCTTGCGCCGTGAGGTGTAGACTATACATGTATATAAATGTATGCGTCTATATACAAATATATACATACATATATATATATATATATATATATATATATTCGGCTACGCGCGAGAGTGACCCTAGGCAAGAGTGACCTTTAGTGCGCTGATTAAGGGGGCGCAAGGTGACCATGTCCAAGCGCGCAAGCAGCAACTATCGCATCGCGCTCAGCGTTCGGGGGGACCCTGGTGCGCCCGCACCATAAGGTCACTCCGGCGAAGGGTCACTCTTACGTGTAGAGTCCAGCGCAGCCAACGTGTGCGTCCTTCAGAAGTACCCCTGTGTCGCCGCCATGGCGTGAAGCGGGGCCCCACCTGTGCAAACCGCCCAGCGACCTGAAGCACTGAGGCCCAAGGTCCAAGATGCCCAAGGCCCAAGGTGCCTCAAGCTTTTCGCTCCATTCTAGAGCCCCTGGGACACTCTGGGCCTCGTGAGGGGTGCTCTGAAGGCCCTTGGCGGCCTCCTTGGAAATCCTGGAGGCACCTTGGGCCTGAGGCACTTCTAGCAGCACCCGATCTGAAGGCACCGCCTGCGCCAGCGCCGGGAGCGAGAGCCATCCGCGGACGTCCGAAAGTCCACACTCTCTGTGCGGCGGGTTCGCGTCGCGACGACCTGCCCTCAGATCCGGGAGCTGCCATCTTTGCACAGCGGCCGTTTTTGCGAGGTGGGGATATCCATTTCCACCGCCTGCGGAACCGACATCCTGGGACCCCAGCGGGCTGTGGATATGGAAGTGTGCGGGTCCCTGGGGGGCCGAATGTACCCATATCCAGAGCCTGTCGAGGTCTCCGAAAATCGATCCTCAAGGCGGTGGCCATGTATAAATCTCCGCATCGGAGATTTCGCCCAGTTGCGGGCCTCAGGACCCTCACAGATCGATGCGGCTCAAATGATGGCGCAGAAAGGTGGAGTCTAGGGCTCGGGGAATAATTGTTCGCGATGTTGTATGTGTTTGGTTCTGCAGCGACGGATGCCAGGCTCTTGTGTCTTGTGTGCGGCGAATTCGTAACATGAAAACCTGCGCATGGGCTTTCAGCACCGCGTGGGTCGTTACACCTTGAAGGATCGGCCACTTTTCGATCGCCAGGTTGTTCCATGTTGGACGGTTCTGGACCACTGGCGGCGTTCAACCTTGAACGCCAATGCCGGTGTCGCCGCAGCGGCGGCGGCGAAAGCCGTCCGCAGACGTCCGAAAGTTCACGCTCGTATGTTAGGAAGCAACTTCTGGCAGGTCTTCGCGAGGACGATTACGGGCGATGAAGCCCGATCAAGAGACTAATTAAGCCAGAGCGCGCCAGATTAGCCCAGGATTAGCCCAGGATTAAGCCGGATTGAGCTGGGTCGCGCAGGATTTACAAGATTGAGCGGGATTATGCCAGATTGGGCGGGTTTTCAACCACGGATGTACCAGTGCCAGTAACACAAACTTGCAGAGTTCCGCGCGGATCTCTTGGATCGGCGCTGGATCGCCGCGGACGTCCGAAAGTTCACGCTCGTGTGGTCCCCAGACCGATGTCGCGATTTTGTCACAACATGGGTCCCCCTCCGGACCCCATCCCTGGGACCAACTTCTCATCCTGAGTCGCGCCTTCACAGTCCCGGGGCCGGGTGGGGGCTCCCTCAGCCGAAAGCTGCCAAAAACAGTCCGCCGCGAGTTCTGCCACGACGCGAGCACGCCTGAGGTGCTCCTGTGGCTCCCCGAAGTATGCGCCCCAAGAGCTCACGGTCATCGCCACGCTGATGATGGGCCTGTTTTCCACCACCACCACCACTGTAAGTTGGAGGGGAGAAGGAGGTGGAGGATGAGGAGGAAGAGGAGGAGGAGGGGAAGGAGGAGGAAGAGGAGGACCCCCTCCCCCTCCTGCTTGTGGTGGTAGCGGTGGAGAACAGGCCCACCAGCTGAAGCTCTCCGTGGGGTACTTGGCGCAGTGCGGGCGCACGGCCCGCGTGAACACGCGCTGCGACCCGGACTCGTGCACGCACGTGGGGCTGGGCTCGCAGCAGAGGACGACGATCGGCGGCGCCCACGGGGGGGGGGCGCGAGGGGGTTCGCGGCAGCGCCCAGATCTTCTCGAGCCGGGCGTTTTCGCCCGCTCTCGTCGGGGATGGACACAACTCCCTGGAGTAGAGCGTGGTTTAGTGAAAACGGCCTCGGGCCCAAACCTGGCGGGCACAGGCCTGGAAAGTGACGGCCGCGGCGCCCTGTCGAGAACCGATAACGGGCAAATTCACTAATCGACGTGTCAGGGTGGGGGTTCTGTCCACCCCCGATTTCAGGCCCCGGGACCATCACAGATTGATCCAGCTTGAGACGATTGACGCAGGGCACATGAAGATGCGGTGAGAGGCTCCAATCGTGTTTTTGTTGGTTTCGGACCCTGGGACCATCACAGATTGAACCGGCCCTACAAATGGCGCAAAAAAAGATAGGGCCTAGGGCTCTGGTCGTGATTTGTCATGGTGCTTTTTCGCTACGGCGAAGGCAGAGGCATTCTTAGAAAGCCTCGGAGAATTCTGGGAAGGCTTCTGAGAAGCCAGGCGGGCTGCTGAGGAGCCCCTCTGCCTTCTTGGAAGCCCCGCCGCAGTCTCAGCAGCCGACCCCCTTTACGCCACCTCGTTTTGGGCGCCGCCAAGAAGAACACGGGGTCGAAACGCAGCACGCTGGCGCTGCTCTCCTAGACGAGAGAACAGCATGACAAGCATAAACTTCCTGAGCTCCGCGCGGATTCCTTGGATCGGCGCCGGGACCCCCACGGGCGGGGTGCCTCCGCCGCCGCCCATGGCGCGCTCCAGCCCCGATCCAGGGGCAGCGGACCCCAGCGCCGACGCCGATCCGAGAGATCCGCGCGGACCTCCGAAAGCTTCTGTTCCTACCATGTCTTCTCCTCCGAGCTCCTCCAGCTGCCGCATCAGCATCACCTCCCCGCTGGTGACGGCAAGGGGTTCCGACAGCAGGCTCGCCACCGAGCCATCGGTGATGCGGTGCCAACGGGTAAGGTAGGCGTCGAAGAGGCTGCGCGCCAGGGCGGCGTGACGGTCGTTGATGCCCCCACCCCACCAGTCCTCGAGAAGCCTCCCAGATGGGGTCCTCGCAGACGGGGGTCGGAGGATCACGCCGCATCTCCAGTACCGGTAACGTCGGCGATGCATCGGCGCCATCGGCGTGGAGCAACTCTGGCTCGGAGCAACCCTGGTTCCACGTCGAGCCGCCTTGTCGACGCATCGGCGATACGGCGCGATCCTTCGACTCCCATCTGCTCCGACTCCCTCCAGGGGGCCCAGGTCCTCGTTCCGCGGGATCCAGACCGCGCGGGCTTGGCCTTCGGGCAGCACGCTGAGGTGCACGGGGGCGTGCGGGGCCATCCACATGAGGTCGATGCGCGACCAGACAACGTGCTCGTAGCGGCCTGCCCGCTGCCGCTCGTGGGTGGCGATCATCCGGTGGCAGGCGGCCTGCTGGAAGAGCTGGAGCAGGTTGCCGCCGACCTCCTCGAACAGTGGCGCGCGCCAGTTGCCCCACTGGCTCACGAACCGTTCCTGCACGTAGCTGCCCTGATACGCAGCACGCAGCCCGCAACGTGTTGGCACGGAGCTCGGCCCGTAGATTGACTGTGTAAATCTGGCGCGATGATGCGTTCGCCAAAGCGTGGGCCAGCACGAGGAAACCGAAAGGTACCAACCGATACTCCCCGGACCTCTCCCGGGGTGCGTTCTGACCAAAATTTCAACGCGAATCCAGCGGTGGCGATGAGGGCACCCAGGAGGCCCATCAAGGCGAAAACGGGCGAGGGGTAGCGGTACAGGCGCCTTTTCTCTAGCAGGGATCGACTACTAAATGGACTTCCCCAAACTTGATTCCCCTGCCGACTCTACAACAAGTACGTACGATGCCCCGTAGATCTACGAACGCCCACGCGTTTCCCGCATACTCCGCGAAAATCAATGCTGTAGCAAACCAATCACGCAAGCGATCCCCGAATCGCCTTTCCCCCTTCGGCGGTGGACAAACCTCCCTTTAGTAAACCTCCCCTCAGTGAAGACGGCCTGGGACCGAAACCGACGGACCTGGACCCGCAAAAATGACGGCCGCGACGCCCTCTCGCGAACCGAAAACGGCCAATTCCTTAATCGACGCGTCAGGGTAGGAGGTCTGTCCACCCCCGACCCCTCTGACAACATGCGCCGCGCCGGCACCTTCTTGGCCGGCGGGCGCAAGACGAGCAGGCGCTGGTCGAGCGGACGGCTGGGCGCGCCCGGCGGGCAGAGGGCACTGGGGGAGGGGAGGCGCGCCGGGGCGCGGAGCGGGCGGGGGGGCCGAGGAGCCGCACTCGGGCCACGAGAGTCTTCGTGCGCGCGACGAGGAGCGAGTGCTGTGGGCACGAAAATAGGAAAAGAATGGGAGCGACACAGTTCAAAAAAAGAGTTTCGCGGGGGGGCGGGCAGGACACGAGTAGACCACGCGCTCGCGGCGACGCTCGAGGGCGCTCGGAACCCGCGCGCTGCCGCTCGAAAGTCTTCGTGCGCGCGCCGAGGAGCAAGTGCTTGAAGTGCGCGGCACCCCGTGAGCAAGTCAAGACGCGAAGTTAGGACGAGGTCAAGAACGGGCGAAGAAGAATCGAAATTCTCTGAGATCCAGCGGCTCTAAATGATGTCTCGGGCGCCGCGGCCTTCTCAGAGCGTTCCGGAACGCTCTGAAAGCGTTCTGGAACGCTCTGGGGAACGGGCTTGTCCTCGTCCTACCCCCGTCCGACAAGTACCGATCCCAACTGGCATAGTGCAAGACGAAGGCCGCGAAAGGGGGGCAAGGGCGAGGGCGAAGCAAGGCAGCAGGACGGCCCGATGCCCAGACCAAGGTAGCCCAGAGGCGACGCCAGGAAGAGGCCAGGCGAGGGCTGCCAACAAGAGCCCTGAGGAAAAAGTGCCGAGCCAACACGCAACGTGTCTAACCCGGACGCTCTGAACATGGCACGCGTTGCGGTTCAACGCGGGCGTATCAGGGCAGGTAGGTTCCTGTACCGTCGCGGCGCCGAGCGCCACGGCCAGCTCCGCCAGGCACCACTCCTCAACCACCAGCAGCGCCCTCGCGGGCCCCAGCTCCACCGCCAGCGCGCTGACGGTGGAGCTCAGCTGGGACTCGTCGCCTACGGGCACGTAGCCGAAGAGGTCGGCGGAGAGGGCCCCGACGAGGTGGTCCCGGATGCTGCGCAACCCCGCGGTCTGCTGCATGGCGCGGAGAGGGCCGGCGACGCACACGGCCACCCTGCTGTGGCCGCCTCTGGCCGCGGGGGGCTCGCCCGCGGCATCGGAGAAGAAGGCGGCGTCGGCCACCTCGGGGCAGGGCGAGCCGAGAGACCACGACGGCTCAAAGTCCGTCCCCAGGCCCCTCCGGGGACCCCAGCGAACCCAGTGTCCCGAGCTGCACACTGCCGTGGCAGCGAAGGGCCCCCCAAAGGCCAACTGCCGCTGTCTCAACTCGCCGTCCCCTGAAATCCGCCCATGCATACAAACATTGCGACATCGCGAAAAAGTGCGCACGAAGACCTAGACCCCATCTTCCTGCGTCATTGCTCGAGCCGCATCGATATGTGAGGGCCGCGGGGCCCGAAACAGGGCGATGAACAAATTGCAACGCCCAGATCTGAGGGGCCCCAGCTCGCCCCCGCAGACCCCCGGCGTCACGATTCTCCTGCAACGTGGACCCTAAAAGATCTCGAGCATTCTTCTGCGTTTACGCAATAATATGGGGCTAGTATCATCTCGCGTATCGGATATACGGACAAATAAGAGCCTAATACTCCGTGTATCGGAAACACGGAATGATAAGGGCCTATTGCTCCATGAATACGGAGTGATAGGGGACTACTACTCAGTGTATCGGATACACGGGAGCAGAACGGCCTATTACCCCGTGCATGCGGAATAACAAGGGCAGATCACTCCGTGCATCGGGCACAAAGAATAATAGCGGCAGATTGCTCCGTGTATACAGAGTAATAAGGGCCTATTACTCCGTGTATCGGATACACGGAATAATCCGGGCCTATTACTCGGTGTACCAGATACACGGAAGAATAGCGGCCAACTACTCCGTGTATGCGGATTGATACGGACCGATTACTCCGTGTATCGGACGCACGGAATACTAGCGGCCTGCTACGCCGTGTATACGGAATAACTGGGGCCTATTACTCCGTTTATCGTATACACGGAGGAATAGCGTCCTATTGCTCAGTGTATACGGAGCACTAGGGGTATATGATTCCGTGTGTACGGCGTACAAAAAAGAACAGCCACAACATTAATAATATCAATCCTCATAGTAACAATATAATAATACGAAGACATTAATAACAACAAACAGCACCAACAACACCAACAACAACAGCAGCATCAACCACAACTATAACAACACCAACAACAACAGAAACAATCATTTAAGACTGGGGACACTCCGTTCTCACCAGTGCCTGGGTTTTCATAGGAGGCGGGCAATACCCCCACTTTGTGGGGGGGCCGGTTCAAGCTCTACCAAATTTCCATACGACTCTTCGCCACCACCCACACCCAGCTTCCCGCCCTATGACGTTCGGACACTTCACTTCGTGGCATGCGGACGACCGTGGCTACTATTCAGGGCCCCGCGGCCGACGACGACGGCGTGCGCGCGCGAAGAAAAAACGAATGTGTCCAATATGGTATTATTTGACAGGGATGATGGCCCTGGCATGCGCGCAACCGTTGTTGCAGAAGTTCGAAGCACGTGAAAAAGTTGCTCGCAAGAGCCCGTTTGACAGAAATGTTGAAAAAAATATTGGGTTTCCTCAGAAATCCGCAAGAGCGCGCAAGATGAATGTTTGAAACTTTGTTTTGAAAAACCATTGGTTTTTTGATGTTTTTATGTTGAAATCGTTACGAACACTAAGGTTTTGGAAGGATTTCGTCTTGCACGCGCGAATGTCCACTTTATCTTATTTTTTGCAAGGAATTCTTGAAGTTTGGTTATGTTAGAACAAGAATATCCACTTTAGCTTATTTTTTGCAAGGGGAAACAGGGGACAACAAAACAACCTGATCCGGACACCCACGTTTTGCCTGAGACTTCCTCACGAAAATGATGAAAATGTGGCTGCGGCCTAGGCGCGGCGGGGGGGGCGCGCACCAGGGGCCCCAACAATAATTATTCTTTAGAATTAATAATGTTCAACGCCCACAACAACAACAACAACAACAACAACCACAACAACAGCAGCAGCAGCAACAACAACCATCAATTTAAGACGGTTCGCTCTTATCTTCTCGCGTGCCATTCAACACGTTTCTCCCGAACCCTCGATTCCCGCCCTCTTCGTGTTCGATCGTACCCCCTTCGGGGTACTTCTTTCTCACCTGCAGAGTGTATTTCGTGTAGCCCCCAACGCAGGGGAAGAGAGGACGGATGGAAGGAAGGGACAAGGGGGAGGGAGGAGGATGGAGCACGAGGGAGAACAGCAGGGGGGGGACTAGGAGCAGAAAACTACGGGCAGATCGGGCGGGTAGACCCTAACGGGCGGGTCGGGAAGGCGAGCCCAGGCGGCCAGGTCGAGCATGCGGGTTGCTGAAGCGTGCGTCATGCAAGAATCGAGAGGAAGTCTCGAACGATAGCGCGATTCCCAAGTAAATCGTGAGAAAGGCCAGAGCGAAAGCGTGATTCCTGAGTGTCGAGGGCGCGGCGTCGGAATAAATTGCGAGGAAGTCCCACGCGAGAGCGCGAATCTTGTATAATGTGTGAGGAAGTCCCGCGCGAGAGCGCGGGCTGAGGATAAATTGTGAGGAAGAATCAAGCGCGAGCCGCTGTTGTTGTAAACCAGGTGCAACAGATACAAATCTGAGACTCAAGACTTTTCCTTCATAGAAAACAAAGTGCGAGCCCAGGGAAGGGCACTTCAATTGAAAAAACACAGTGTGCCCCGGAGGGGGATCAACAATGATAATCCCACCAGCCCTTTGGGCCTGAGTGGTTTAGAGAGCCCGCTCTGTTCTCAACCCCCTTCTTCCCCTTCGGGGAGGGGTTACCCCTCCCCCTACCCCCTCTCCCTGGGCCTGGAGAGGTCCTTCCGCGGGTGGTCGAAGGGGTCTTTTTCGACTCCTGGGAGGGCTAAAATTCGACACCCCTCACGAGGATCGTGGCCCCGACGGGGGGGGGGGAGAAAAATGCTCGCCCCATCTGTGATCGATCGCCCGAAAGATGGCCCCAAGATACCTCCCAGACCCCTCCCAAAGAGCCCCAAGAGGGCCCTAAGAGCGCCCCGGGAGAGCCCGCAAAGGGCTCCGAGACCTCCACCATATCGCCCAGAAGGCCCTAGTATATCCCCAAGATGTCTCCACATATCGCCAAGAAGGCCCTAGCATATCCCCAAGCATTGCGACAACGACAACGACTAAAACTTCTACCGCTACTCCCACCGCTACCACCACGACTCCTACAACAACAACAACAACAACAACAACAACAACAACAACAACAACAACAACAACAACTACTATTCATACTTCTACCGCTACTGCTACTGCTACTGCTACTGCTACTGCTACTACTACTACTACTACTACTACTACTACTACTACTACTACTACTACTACTACTACTACTACTACTACTACTACTACTACTACTACTACTCTCACTCCTACTACTGCCACTTCTTCTTCTTCTTCTACGACCACTACTGCTACTTCTGCTACTTCTGCTACTACTACTACTACTACTACTACTACTACTACTACCACTACTAATTCTACTACGACGGCTACTGCTATTGCTACTGCTACTGCTAGTGCCACTGCTACTGGTAGTGCTATTACTACTACTGCTACTAGTACTAGTACTACTACTACCACCACTACTACTACTACTACTACTACTACTACTACTACTACTACTACTACTACTACTAAACTACTACTACTACTACTACTACTACTACTACTACTACTACTACTACTACTACTACTACTACTACTATACTACTACTACTAACTACTACTACTACTACTACTACTACTACTACTACTACTACTACTACTACTACTACTACTACTACTACTATACTCTACTACTACTACTACTACTACTACTACTACTACTACTACTACTACTACTACTACTACTACTACTACTACTACTACTAGTACTACTAGTACTAGTACTACTACGACTACTACGACTACTACTACTACTACTACTACTACTACTACTACTACTACTACTACTACTACTACTACTAAATCTAGTACTACTACTTCTACTCATGGTGCTACGGCTACTACTACTACCGTCTGACTCGTTCACGTGTGTGAAACGACGACGACCGCCCTCTGTCTTCCCTCCCAACACCTTCTCTTCCTCCTCCTCCTCCTCGGACTCGTCCTCCTCCCGCTCCCCCCACTAGGTGGATGTACAAGGCGGCAGGAGGACATAGGAACAGGGTAAATATGCGAGAGCAGGCTGAAATACGCCTGAAAAACACGACTGTCGGCATGCTTCGCTGGAGTTGCTGTTTGGGGATGGGCTGGTGGGGATACGAGAAGCGTGAAGAATTCTTCAATAATTACGGTTCAACAACAACCATCACCACCACTACAGCAACAGCAGCAGCAACAACAGTAACAACAATAAGTTTAAGACTGTTCGCGCATATCTGCTCGCGTGACATTCAACATGTTTGTCCCAAACCCCCGGTACCCGCCCTCTTCGTCTTCGATCGTACCCCCTTGGGGGTCTATCTTTCTTATCTGCCACGTGCATTTAGAGCACGGATGGAAGCGGGAGGGAAAAGGAGGGAGCACGAGAGAAAATAGAAAGAGGGAGACTGAAAGCAGAAAACACGTGGCCGAACCAGACGGGCAGATCGGGCGGGCAGACCCTTGCGGGCGGATCGGGAAGGCGGACCCGGGCGGCAAGGTGGAGCAGGCGGGTTGCTAAAGCGTGCGTCCTGCATGGACCGCGTAGAAGTCTCGAGAGGTAGCAGTGCCTCCTGCATGGACCGCGTAGAAGTCTGAGTGTCGAGGACGCGGCGTCGGAATAAATTGAAGGGAGATCCCACGCGAGAGCGTGATCCCTGCAAGATTCCTGACGAAATCCCGCGCGAAAGCGCGATTCTGGAGTACACGATGGGGAAGTATCAGGCGGGAACAGTTCTTGGTGCAGTTCGGGGCCCAACAACGCAGTTTGGTGACACCAAGCTTACCCTGTTAGAAACAAGGCGCGAGCCCCGGGAGGATCGGGGATGGACAGACCTCCCTTTAGTAAAACGTGGTTTAGTGAAAACGACCTCGGGCCCAAACCTGGCGGGCGCAAGCCTGGAAAATAACGGCCGCGGCGCCCTCTCGAGAACCGAAAACGGACAATTCACTAATCGACGTGTCACTGTTGGGGGTTCTGTCCACCCCCGAGAGGAGCACTCAGATTGAAAAATGCAACGGTCACAGGAGAGGGGGGGATCAACAGCAATTATTCTCTGGAAGTGAGAAGAACTCAACAAAAAAGTCCGTCGTGATCTCTTCGTGGCTCGAGGGGGCCATGTGCCCTCCTCCTCCTCCCTCCCTCCCTCCCTCCCTCCCTCCCTCTCCCACTCCCTCCCTCCCTCCCTCCCTCCCTCCTCCTCCTCCTCCTCCTCCTCCTCCTCCTCCTCCTGCTCCTCCTCCTCCTTCTCCTTCCTCCTCCTCCTCCTCCTCCTCCTCCTCCTCCTCCTCCTGCTCCTCCTCCTCCTCCTCCTCCTCCTCCGCCTCCGCCTCCTCCGCCCACCGGGGCCGAGAAATCCGCCGCGAGCGGGTCCAGGGCGCTCAGCCACCACGGGACGCAGACCACCGCAGGCCGGCCGCCCCGCGCCTGGCCCCGGCCGCCGACGCTGCACCGCAGCCCCGGCCTCGGCGCGAAGACCATGGCAACGCCTAGAGGTCTCCCAGAGGAGCGACGGGCAACAACGGGTCTTACAAGAGAGCCGAAAATCCACCCTCACAAGAAGCACCCAGACAGGCCAGGCGTTTCCGCAAACGCACCCGAGGAAGGAATCGAATAGGAAAGGGGTGGCCAGTAAACGCCGAGAGCCGTTTAGGAAACGCCGTTTGTGGGCAGCGGGGTGATTTTTCCTCCCTGGACTTAGTCGGGTCTGTCCCTCTACAGGGGGGAAATTCAAAAAATGGTCAACGAATAATCAGGGGACTATTTGCTCATCTATTGTCTATCACTTTGGGAATATTTGTTTAGAATACTCTGAATCGTTCGCTCAAAATCCCCCTGTAGGGGGACAGGCCCGACCCAACCCTGGACTTACGCGAGATGGCACAGCGACCTCACGCGGTGGCCTACGCGGGCCGCCGGCGTGGCCCGCCGCGTTTGCAGCGATGGCGCTCGCGCGCGACCCTGCGCGGACAGTCTGAACCCTGTTTTTTTGTAGGATGAGCGCTCGGAGGTACAGTGGGGGGCCGACCACAAGAAACCCTCCACAATGCCAAACTACCTTGCGGAGCAAAAGGTCCGTGACTCTCAAGCGCTACTGAGGCGGAGCCATCTCTCAGATGGGGCGGAGTTGGGGGGCGCGCACTCTACGCATTCATTCATGGACTCGGCGAGCCAACCAGTTTGAGGATATATCGATTCTGCAGTCGATCCCCTCCGACCCCATCTCCGCCGACGTCGCCGCTGCAGCGCCGATGCATCGGTGGTGCATCGACGAGGCGGCGCGATCCTCCGACCCAATCTGCGCGCACTCTGCAAATTCTTTCGTAGACTCGACGAACCAACCAATTCTGAGGTACATCAATCCTGTAGTCAATCCTCGGGACTGGCGAAAAACGACTCAGGATGAAAAACTGGTCCCATGGAAAGAATCGAGACCTCTGGGGGTCCAAGTTATGGAAAAATCAAGACGTCGGGGGTCTGGAGATCGCGCCGCATCGGGTCGGAGTTGGCGGCGCGCGCGAGGGGTAGGGGGAGAGGGGAAAAATTATTAGATGGAGGCTGCGTCTTAGAAGGTGCCGGCCTTTCCTCTACACATAATGCCCGCGCCCTCCAAGAGGCAGTGGTGCTTCTAAGAAAACTTCCCCCCTCCCCATACCCCCTCTGCTCGTGGCCGACGGCGGATCGCGCCGCATCGTTGATGCACCACCGATGCATCGGCGACGTCGGCAGAAATGGGGTCGGAGGAGATCGACTACAGAATTGACATACCCGGTTGGTTGGTCAAGTGCACAGAAAAATACGTAGAGCGCGCGCAGATGGGGTCGGAGGATCGCGCCGCCTCGTCGATGCAACACAGGTGCATCGGCGATGATGTATCGGCGACGTCGGCGGAGATGGGGTCGGAGTGGAGGAGGTCGGAGGATCGCGCCGCCTTGCCGTTGCATCGGCGATGCATCGGCCATGTATCGGCGGCGTCGCTGGAGGTGAGGTCGAAAGAAATCGACTACAGAACTGATATATACTACGCAGAATTGGCTCGTTCGTCAAATCTGCGAAAAGGTATGTTGAATGCGCGCAGATCTACTGACATGCTACGCGTGCGTTACGGTTCGATTGCGGGCTATGTGAAATTTGTAATTGTCGAATCGTCGAAGCATCACGGATGCATCACCGATACATCGGCGACGCATCGGCGATGCATCACCGATCGTCGGCGATGTATCGGCGACGTCGGCGCGGAGAAAATCGGGCTCCAAATCGAGCCGCATCGCAGATGCATCGGCGATGCGGCGCGATCCTCCGGCACCATCTGCTCCCAGACATGCGACGCCCTGGTTGTCTCGCGACGCAAGCACGTCTGGGCTCGGAGCCCAAAAGCCAAAAGCGGAGAAAACTTCCCGTCGCGACTTTAGTCACGACGCGGGCATGTCTGACATCTGCCCTGGGGCGACGAACTCTGTACATATATGTTCACTGTTCCTTGGCCAGGCCCATCCTGAACCCAGCAGCGGTGCACACGCCATGCCCTCCTGGCTGGGCCAGGAGGGCATATATATATATATATGTATATAAATTAATACAGTATATATACAGTTCCTGGGTTCAGGATGGGCTTGCCTGGGGAGCAATGGATATGTGGGCGGATTCCGGAAAACTTGAACCCAAAAAAAATGTCACCGTTTCGGGGGACGATTCTTGTTTCCGCCGGCGTCCGCCGAGTTCCGCCGGCCTCCGCCGGCGGAGGCGGCCTCGTCTTACTTCCGCCGCCTTCCGCCTGCCTTCCGCCGAGGAAAAGATGGCATCTCCTTCGATCCTCGAAGGCCAAACCCTTTTTGGAGCGCCTCATGTATAGATGTGGGGGAAGGCGAGGAGGAGGAGGAGGAGGAGGAGGAATTTGATTTTTTCCTCGACGTCAGGACCAACAACTGATAAAAAATATGTGGCGTACAGCGAATCCAAACTTAAAGATCCGTCGCAGAGAGCCAACTGTCTCGCACTGCCCCGCGTGGGCCAAGCTGCCAGGGTGCTGCGCAGAGGGGCCTCCTGCGCAGCGCGTGCCAAGCAACGTCTCGGGCATGCTAGCTGAAAAGGTATTCGGCCGCCTCATCCTCGGCGATTGTATCGAACTCAGGCGGGGCCTCCACCTCGCATAGCTCCTCTGCATGTGCTGGCACGGCAGGGGGGAGAGGTGGAGGCACGTCGGAGGCGGGAGGGTACGTGACCGTGACCGTGCTACTGCTGGCAGGGAGGGCTTCGCCTCGGACAAAAATGACACGGCGCTGGATAGTATCCTCTCCGCTTATGCTTGCATTGTGCCGTGCAGGCTCGCTCTGGCAGAAAAGGGGGTTCACTGCTCGAGCGCCTCCAGCCAGTGGCCGATCTCCTCCTCGAGCCAGCCTGCTGGGGCCACGCCTCTGTGGTGGACCGCTTGGCCCGCGCCGATCACCAGCTTCGTCTTGGCGTCGTCGTAGCACTTCTCCAGACGCACAAAGGGGGCGACGACGAGGGGATCTTCCTTGCTGATCTCCGCCCCCGCCTCGGTGTCCTCGGGCTCCGCTCGGAGCAAGTAGTTCTGAATGGCGCCCTTCATAGAGCCGCCCACGTCGCACTTGTGCAATCCTTCCAAGGCCGCCAGCGCGAGGGACGGAGCTGGCGACCCTATCTCCTGCAGGCGTTTCTTGTTCTCTGGGGCGCCGCTCTTCCTGAGCTCCTGCGTGATGGCTATGCTCACTGGGTGCTCGTTGCTCATATTGCACGCGTTGATGCTGCAATTCGGCCTGGTCTTGAACGTCGTCTGGAGCAGCAACTTCGGGTCGGTCTTTGTCCTTCTCGCCGATGTCTCCCTCGTCCACCTCGATGGGCGCGGCTGCTGGCATGGCTGCCCCCCCTTCCTCGGCTGGCGTTCGCGGTGATCGCGATCGCCTCTGCGGCGGCGGCGGCGGGCCTGGCGGACGTGAAGCCTTTGTCGCCTTCTGGCCTGGCGCGGCGCTGGAGGCGGTGCCAGAGCCCTTCGAGCCCTGGGAGGAGTCCAGCTGGAGTCGCCACGACGCTCTCTGCTTGGGCGTCGCCCCCTGGCCCAGGAGGTAGTGCAGGAAGAGTAGGCGTAGAGGAAACAGTAGCCACTCGAAGTGACCGCGTAGGTGTTGCACACGCTGCTGCCGGGCGCTGCGCCGCTCGTAGCCGTCGAAGCGGTCGGTGTCTAGGTCTGCCGCGAGGGTCGCTGCCCACGATGTGTTCCACCGACTGACGAATGGCTGCGCGTACAGCAGGGGTGTCCTCGATGGCAGGCGATGGGCGGCAGCTGGATGGCGCGGGGCGCGGCGGGGGAGCACTCGGAGTGGCCGAGCGCGCGGTAAGCCTTCTGACGACAGGCTTGAGCATGGAACCCGATGGCGACGGTGGGACATGTCCCAGGACGTGAGCTCGAAGTTTTTGCTGATCATGATATTCATGTTGGCACGCATGGTCCAAAGCGTAGTCCCGTAGAGGGCATGTAGTACATGTGGCTGGGATCCAGGGGTATACATGATGAGTAAATTCTGGAATGCATCTGCCTGCTTGCCATGCTCGTCGTAAATGTCTAACTGCGTGATCTTGATTTGGAAACGTAGTTTGGCACACAATACATTTGCTGTCGATCTGTAGGGTAGTCAATACCGCTGGCATACCGTGTCCTAGGCTCTTAGCTTTAGTTTGATGTGTGGCGAGCTGTTTGGGCGTCCCGAACCGTTTCTGGCATGACTCGATGTTGCACACGAAGGGCCGGTTCGTCTCGTCGTCTGTGTCCGTCTCGTCGTATGTTGCCGCCGCAGGGAGAGAGGAGGTGATCACGCTGGCCTCGGGGGGGCCCACTGAGTCGTCCAATAGGAAGCCCTGAGAGCCCGAACGTCGCAATTTAGGAAGGCCTCTCGAACCCACTCGTCATCCCACAAGTTTTTAACAACTCGAGGTTGCCACGCTTCATGAAAGCTCTCGCCGATCGTGTGGGACGACAGGCACAGCAAATCGTCCGCGAGCTGCGTGGCCCACGGGTGCACGTTCGGGTCTGCGGAGATCTCACCCTGCGAATTGAGGGTGCCAGCGCTGACGGGGCGGTTGCTTATGGCCGCCTGCTGCTCGAACTTGCATCTTCCAAAAAAGAAACGAGAAAGTGGCCGTGATGTGTGTGCGATCGAATTATGCTCTGCCACCAACTGAGCCTGCGCACGAGTAGCTCAAGGGCAGCCGGTGCAACTTGCCATTCAAAAAACACTTGGCGGGTAGACAAAGATCGATGATTGTTGTGCTCATCCTCCTGATGTGCCGTTCCTCTCATCATTGATCGTAGTTTGCGGGCCAGCGAACTGTCGAGTCTGTTGAGATCTCTAGAGGACAACACATAGCTTTCAAGGCCAGACCATACCCCCCCCGCGACGTTGGACACGAACGCGAGCCGTTTAGCTTTCCAGGGACCTCCAGAGAACCAATAATCGCCCAGACGGCACCAC